CGTCGCACAGCCATCGCCATCACCATCCCAGCCGTGACCGGAAATGCGAGATTCGAGGACCTGAAGTAAAACCGGAATTATGTTGTTATGGTAGCGCTTTCAGGTGAGGTCATGTATTTTAGAGACGGATTTTGGTCGGTATTGTACTGTTTACTACTTCCGAGGGTCGTGTTATTTTCTGACGGATGAGTTTACGTAAGGAATATTATTATTGATGTGAGTGTAGGTGACGTTTTTGAAATATTTGGGATAATGATTTCGGAACTAGGAGGACGCTAAGTTTAATTACGAGTGCTGCAGAAAGTTGGATGCAGTTTAGTTTTCCCCCCAACTTTAACTGTCGCGACCACTTCTGCACTTTCGGAGAACAAATCGTTTTTGTGTTTTTTGGTGTCTGAATTTTTCGGGTTAGTTGTGTAGTTCAAACTCGAAAATTAAGTAAGCGGTTTTGGGTTTTTATGAGATTCCCAATGGATTTGTTGCGGGGGTGTTTTCGTTTAATCTAATGTTTGTATTTTGCCAGAGCAACATCTATTCATCCCGCCACAGGGGCTGACGACAGTTTTCAGAAATCCGACAACAGGGTCTGTTGGGGAATCGCTTTACCGTACCCCACGTGACTAGTGTGTTTGGGACACTATCACATTCGGTTGTTAGAAAGGGATATCAGGAGCCCGGTGAGGGGTATTCTGCATATAGACATTTCGGCTGTAATACACTAGGGAGTCAGCATACAATTCTAGTCACCTTTTATATTGTCAATTTTATTCAACCCCTACTAACTAAGCTCAGCTTAACTTATCTCGTAAGAGAAACCCTTCCGATATTACCCTGATATCATTATGTCCAGAGATACCTCCAGGACTAACCAGTTCAACCATCTACTGGACAGCAGAGCTGGGTCTCCGTCATTACCCCCCGCGGAGACGGTTTCCCAAGAGGATCGACAACGGTTCTCAAAATTTGAATATGTGTTGATAGCAGTGTGTATTTGAGACCAACACGAATAGCGACTATGTATGCCCGTGAAACCGAGAAGCCAAGCGCTATTGGTTCTCTATGGTCGACACTCGGCGCACGATCTGGACTGTTCTACATTCAATCAACCCGATACTTCAAAAAGCGTTCTCCCCTTTACGTGTTTGGAGAGCATGGTTAAAGTCAAACGTATCGTATAGATGATCATGGCTGATTAGTTCTCGACACTCATTATGTAAAGGTCGGTTTTGGGTCGTTATCCCGAAATGATTTGGTCAATAGATTGAAATCAAGCTGATTCGATTATGGCAGTCTTATGTGCGATATCTTGGAATATGTTGATGATGATAATCTTAACAAAAAAGCATGACAAATTCTTTTGATATTTCATCTGATAATTATCGAGATCTTCTATGCAATCGGCCTCATTACGGGCTTGTATATGAAATGTTGGGCGAGTGTGATTGCGTATGTTTGTATAGAGCGTGGTCGACGAAGTTTGTTGATTGTCGTGGGGGGTGAGTGATTAAGCTCTTGAGTCAACAAGTTAGGTATGAAGTAGTCATCATAACATATTTGAGTAACGGACAATGTTGCCAGTCCGGATACCATGTATAGGACTGAGTGACAAAATACAGGACATCCAGTATATAGACATAGAACAACCCAGGTAAACGGGGTGTTCAAATATATGGAGTAAGAGGAGGACCTAGGTACTATGCACCCCGGGAGTGAACCCGTCGGATGACATCACGCATCGAAGGGTCAACAGACAACTACGTTATCAACTAATATTGCACAACAACAGGTGATGTGCGTGCTATTTTATATACTTTTTTATGCATTCACGTTGCAATTAATATACCAATATTAATTTGTAGATCTTGCTATAAGCATATTCTACCTTATCGTCCAATCTGCAATCACTCTTCAAAAATAATCTCTCTCGCAGCAGGATATTTAGTGATGGCCATTGCCGCCAACAGCTCGGCATCAGATCTCAAAGTGGCCCGGGCCGACAGCAACTGATGGTCATTGAGGGTTATAGTAACCTTTACCATCTGGTCTTGCATGTCTTCAAAATGGTATCGAGGTTTTACACTAAGACGACGAGTACAAAGCTTCTTAAGCGTCGCCCCCGCTTGCCCATCTATTCTGGTTCCAGCTGGTAACACGTGTTCCGCCTGAATAGGAAACACCGTCCAATCAATTCGCTCGAATCGTGCCAAATTCTCGGTAACATTGATTTGTGTTGATGTGTTGGGTGTCAGGCTCAGCAGTGCTTGCTGTGCCAGCTTCTTGGCAACCTTAAACCGTGACGATATGTTGATAGCCCGGCTCAGCAGTGCTGGAAGTGCCTGCTTCTTAGCAGCCCTAGGCCCAATCGGTTTGTGGGCAGTTCGGTTCAGCAGTGCTTGCTTAACCAATTCATCAGTCATACATCTGTTAACGACCCCAGATTCAGAGATTGGTGCTGATATGGGTACCACGTCAACTTCCCATACCCGCACGTTGCAATCCTCATTCGACGAGGTGATAAGTATGCCCCTAGAGCTTCCAGGTTTCACAACAGCCATGAGCGAAGTTACTGGCTTGAGATGAGCTTGTAGCATCAATCGTGGGTGACCGGTGGTTTTGTTCCAACATATCACCTTGCCATCTTGAGAACCCAGCATGACGCACCCAATATTTGGCATCGAACAAATTGATTTAACCAGACCCTTATGACCTTTGTATGTAACTTCACAATACAGAAATATTTGATCGTTGGGCATCTTGAGAAAGTTCCATAACTTTGCAGTACCGTCTGTCGAACATGACAAAACCTTCTCGTCAACAAACTTGACAGATAACACCTGCTTGCGGTGACGATTGTACTGTTTAGCATCCGAAAATTGCACCTGTAATTCGCTGTCGGCGTCCCACACTCCGGCAGTATTATCCCCGAAGCCAACAACATAATACTTACCATCCCACAGTACCAGCACCGATTTCACCAGTTTTTCATGGTAATCAACGACCATTTCAGTTGTTTCCAAAGTCCAGACAACAACAAAGCCGTTCTTCAGGCCCGACAACAACTTCTCGCCATCAGGAAAGTAATCAAGTGAGACCACCTCTCCATCGCCACAGCGCAAGGTTTTATACATCTTAAGGGTCTTCAAGTCATAAATATAGATATTCATCTTTTTGGCGATGGCCAAATAGTTACCATCAGGCGAAAAGCATAACGAATTAATACGGCTCGATCCGGCTGTGTGGCAGTCGTCGTCAACCGTCAATCTAGCCACATGTTTGTATGATTGAATACTGTACAAATAGGTGGTAGTTGTGCATCCAACGGCGATAACCTTGCCATCTTTTGAAAGCCCCACGCAATCCACCTTTCGTAAAAATTCGAACTGGTGAAGTAGTTGAATGTCCAAATCACGCTTGAGCTCGGGGTTGTACCACAAATCATGTTCATTATTAATCTTCACGTAGCTTGAATGCGGTTTCGCGTGATCAATAAACGACGGGGTAGGCTTGCCATGGAACGCTCTGTACGCTGCATTAAAAACATTCAGCAGTCCAGCCTGCAAGGATAACAGTCCCGGAGCCACACTAGCAGTGGATTGCAGCACTGGAACACCAGTAGAAGTAGACAGATTATTTGGTGATGATAATGTATCGGTAATCGTGGAAACGAATGCGTGGATCGTGGGGTTCTCGTGGATCGCGGTCAAAATGGCATGACCTAATTGAACGTATGCGTTGGCACCCTCAAGTTCAACATTTTGTGAATTTAATTCATTAAGGTCAGACTGCAATCTGCGCACGGTTTCTTCGGTGTGTCTTTGGGATTCCTTTTGTTGGTCTGTGGGGGTATTTCTTTCGCTATCGTCATCGGGCTGGCAATCGTTGCCACTGGAGCGTTCACTTGACTCCAGCAACGGGATAAATGAAAGCTCATGGAAAGGCGTGTCAGCATTGGAGGACATGGTTGAGTCAGAAGTCGACTTGTCGATATTCTTAGTTCAGGTAATGGTCAAAAATCGTCGGATATTTATAAAAGTGCGAATGTTGGGGGGCGCGAATTATGAGCACTTGCCAAACTTAGACGATCGAAAGGAAGGTCCATATACTTTATGGAAAGAACACCGATGTTTGTTTTTGGCGTGATATAAGTCTAAAAACCGAGATACTGCTAAGTGAAGGCGCCAGCAATTACATCGTTTACAGTCAACGTTCTGTGGTCTGGTGCTTCCATTTTGAATCGTATTACTGCACATAAGTAGATTTGGTCGGCTAGTTTATCATAAAAGAAAGCTCCCCCTAGAATCCACCACCTTAAGCCCTACACACGAGTTCAACAACTACAATATTATGGCAACATCAGGAATGTTACATCATCGGCCGAATCTCTATCTCGGAGGTGAACCACCACTCGACGTGTGGATGTTTGGCGTTTGTCACATCGCACTCTATCAAGTCCGATAAACAAGCCGTACAGCCGCCTTATCCTTGAATCTGAAATTTATCCCACAAATTCTTACACGTAGGCCTTGATTTTTAGTTGATTACCTAATCCCTCACATTCGTCAACAATGCGCATTGAGGCAGCCCCAACGCCAGCATTATCTAGCCTGGGAATTCGGCTTGCTAGTGATACCAACTACCAATTCCACTCAACTCGCAATAAGTTCTTTTTTGGTGGCTTGTACAAGCTTTACTGAATTGCGTCGTCGATACTGGGGGGATTAAGATTAAGCCAGGCTCCCACCCAGCGATAACAGAGAGTTGGAATTACGCTTAATCATGCGAACTTATAGCAACGGTGGGCCATGTTATGTTCAAAAAGATTAAACGTGTTAAGTGATATGATGATTGCTATGGATGTTCTGAACACTCGCCCCCGCCTTCCCGCCAACCCCGCTTTGGTGACAACCCTGGTTGATTACGGAAGGGCGTTTCGGCTGTTATTGAATCAGTTAAAAGGTGCAAAATGTGCGCCATCTAAGGATAAATCATCTCCCGTCTCTCCAGCTCATTTGCATCATTTATGGCTTGCTGGTGGGCACCGCTATCTTGACTTTCGCACTGGTGTTAGGAGTAACTAGTGCTAGTATCTAATGGAACCGGTGCGCAGTGGTGTAAAGAATTCGCCGTCAACGTCTTGATTAATGCCGATAGCAATCAATATAGCTTTATCGACTTGTGATTGTTGTTGTTGTTTATTGTGGTGGTGATAAGATCACACCCCATAAAACAAGTATGACGTCATTGCGCCCCCTACCACACCAGTGTCACTTCATTTAGGTGATGTGAGCATGGTATACTAGTGAACAATAGTAGAATACACACGGATAGTTCCATTTGTAGAGATAGGTCTCAATTTTGGATCATTTCCTTCTAATTTCCTTGTTGGTCTTGTGCTTTCTCCTCAAGTCCGATGTGCGCCTATACTCACCCCAGTAGTTTCCACAACAATACCACCGCCGACAAACACCACCGACGCCAACAACTTGCCCACAAAATTCATTCATCAATCCAGACGCCCTGGCGCTGCAATCTTTACCAATTATTAACGCCACCATCGGTGCAGCTTATTTATCCAGACCAACGCGACAGTTGACCCTCATTTGCAGACTAAGGGCCACCGATTCTCCAACACCTCCCCCAAGTTACCGTGGTTAATTTGGTTGAAATCCACTTGCTATTGCTATGTGATACAAGTGGTGAACTATCCCAGCTAAGGCCGGTGCTGGCGACGCGTCCACGGGCTTTGATAGCTTTCGTGCGCCGACACTGATAGCAGCAATGCTAACGTGTCCTCCAGCCATCTCTTGATTGAGCCCATCGTGTCTTCGCAAATTATAAGCACACCCCGAGATAGTCTTTTGACAAGCTTGATATTGCCTGGTATACAACTCGTTTCAGGATTTGTTTATCATGTCACGATTCTCCAACGTGAGCGCCACCAACGAGTTCAGCAACTTGTCAACGCTCTGGGTGTCCCAACGCTTACAGCGAGTGCATTGTAACGGCGGCTATGATTGATTTTGACGGTATGACTGGTGATTTCGGGTTACGGTGGTGGTGGTGGTGGTGTCGGTGATCCTAGAGAAACGAGGCCACTTCTCGCTACACAAAGCGTTTATACGGTGAAAGCTGATCCCTCTACCTACTGTTACATATCCTAACTTCAAAATTTGGAGGTGTTCCGTTTGATGCCTGTGTTGAACGACCAGGAGAGTGCTTGCCACTATTCTCGAGATGCGTCCCATCGCTCCTAACCGAAGTCGCATAATATTTACGTTATGTGCCTTGCGTCACTGCACTTACATGAAGAACACCAACTACCACTTGAAATGGCCCAAAGGAATTCAAAACTATCACATCACAATCCGTCTAAAACAATGTGCTGAGTCTACCAATGGGTTTAGCGTACTCCAACAAGAGATGTGGCAATTCTCGGTTCTTCAGGGCGCTACAACGAAGTACAGCCTTAACATCCACCATAAAAACCCCACATGAACCACCAGGTGTAACAGATGTGGAACATCCTACCCCATCAGAAACGCTGACCGCCTTGTGGAATTAACAAAAAAAAATAGAGTAGTTCGTCTAAAAAATTTGCTTGAGCTAAGACCGTTATATGAGCTTACGGGAGATTGATGAGTTTGCGCTGATAAAGCTTACGAGTGATGGAGAAATGGCTGACAGTAAAAGCTTGAGCAGCAACACCATTAAGTAGACTATTCATTGATTTAAATACAACACTGAGAGCATCGTTGTGGACATTTATTTGTGAACGCAAACTAAGAGACGTTCGAATCTGGGTAATACAAAACACTAGATCATTGTATGCTGTCATAGAAAACACGTCCTGATGGCTGTCAATCCAGTGGCAATTCTTGGAGCTACTTGTGGGGTCCATGGGGAGATTACGGTACTTCAAGTCCACTTGACTGGCATTAATCCACCCCAGTAAATCATCACCAAGCTGACAATCTTCCACTGAAGGGGGGCTGGGCTTCCATAAACTGATACTGATGGTACTCAGTTACCCGGTGAGATGTGACCCGAGATCTGAGATGATCTCATCCAACACATTGCTGAACCTGGAGGCAACGGTATACACCAGATCGAAGAGACCAGAGCTGACAGCAATGAGCAAAGTGCTGAACATCAACGCCCACAAGTTGTCTAACCATGACCTGGTCGCCATCCCCGAACAACAACAAAATTAGGTGACTCTGACAACAATACCGATGGCATGGCGATGATGGTGACATTGATGGTGATATTGGCCATAAGACCTTGGGTAACACCGAATTTCAAGTATTGGTGAAGGTGGAAGAAACCAAACCAATCCCTAAAGGACTTGAGGAGCTGCTGTTAAACAATAATCAAGAGATAGTGAGTCAATGCGTCGAATATCAACAGGATTGTAACCATTCAGCGCTGCCACTGTCCCCGGCGCCCTTATTGAAACCATGGTTTGTCAATGACCTGGCTGGACCTCTCAAAGCACTGGCCAACACGACAAACGTTTCATCTTCTTTCTCGTCGCATAATACGCCCATCTTATTCGATGTGAATGCCAGTACTCTTGTTCCATGAGCCTATGCTCGCTTGGAATTGGTTTTACCGCCTTTTGCATCCCCGTTATTCCGCCCAAACATAACAATTGATGTCTCTACCAACGCCACTGCCTTTGCTCTGTGAAGTGACCACACGTCATGCAGTGTGTCCTGAAGCGTGTCCTGAAGCGTGTTCCGAAGCGTGTCTTGAAACACGTCCTGCAACCACCACCAGGAGCGGCTTCCGTCAATAACACATGGCATACCTTATCCACCGTCACCTTACCTACAAAACCTCAACTTGCTACTTCACTAGAATCACGAGAGGTTCCACGCCTTACATTGTCGACCCCTTCGAGCGACATATTCCGCTGGCCACACGGTGCCACTTACTCAGAGACATTGAAACTGATGAGAATCGGCATTGCCAGAATCCTCAGAATAACCTGAGAGGTTATCGAATTGGTTCTCCGACTTGCGGTCAGAGGACTTGGGAGTCATGCTGTAAGTGTAATACAGTTGATAGGGGTTGGTAAGCTAGCGCTTGGGGGAAGCAAGTGTGTAATAAAAGATATAAACAAAGATAGGTAGATATATGTAAAAACTTTTCCATCTGCTTCCAGGTGATGAGCAGAGGGCACAACGTGCAGTCTAAATAACGGAACTCCGAGACTACAGTCGTGAGACCGAAATGGTGATTTGGCTGCAACAAATCACGTGACAAAATAATGATGCCACAACAGAAACCTTAAAACTCGATGACACACCCAGAAATTCCATCGTCGGTGTCTGCTACTGAATGGGTTTCTACCACCAATTAAGCTGTCGCCGTGGCTTTGGCGCTTGTCAAGGATAAGTCACACTATTAAGCCGGTTGTTTACCAATACTGTGCAATTTAAAGAAGAAATTTTCACTGTCTTCGACGCCACTGAAACCGTCACCTAAGCAGTGGTCTTTGCTTTTTGGAAAGAGTGCTTGTGTGTGTGATATTAACTGAATCCTTGCCAAATCCACCATGGGATATCTCATAATCCTTGACGCTGCAAAAGCTGAAATCAGTTGTAAGATACTCAGGATGTTACCCAAAACTCTGTAGACTGAGTTTGGCATTGTATTTGCAGGTTGGTCAGTTCTGGCGCCCATAGTTTGATGTTTCCCAATCTGGATGTGACAATCGAATCCTTCCCAATGGGGACACCAATCAGCCGACCCACACTGAAAAACGCTTCCACGGAACCCTCATCACAATTCAAAGTCATCTATTGTCTTTCGGTGAAATTGTTTACCATTGATGCTCACTATTACTATTCAAAAAAGGTGTCCAGCGAAATGAACCGATCGATCTTTCTCGTCTTACCCACGGCAGAAAGTCTGTACATTGGTATATAATTCCAGGGAATTACATGTGGTTTGACTCAGACACCGAGAATTCTTCACAATCCTACAATTCATCGGGCGGCTTGGTGCCATTTGCTGATGTAATTGCCAAAAGCAATCGTCGTCATTCCAAGCAACAACTCCCCTGAATACCTCAACGTCAAACTGGACCGGGAAGACTACAATATCAACATCGTTAGGCGCTTGGACCTGGTGATGCTGATCGTTGGCAATCGAGCCAACTCGTATAACTCCTCCAATGATGACCGAACTACCCCCGCCACCGCTTCTGACACCGATGCACGTATCAGTGATGGTGGTAGCTACATATATGGATTTCGACATTGCTGTAAACCATACGGGCTTGTCTATTTGTTCTCTATATATTGAACGATGTAGCGCCATTACAACATATCTCGCGCGATGGCGCCTGTGAACACTAACCCCCAGGAAGGTATGTCAGCCAACCTGGCGGCTCATTTCAGAGCCCCCCATTACGTACCAGTCGACCAACCTCTTTTGCAAAACGATCCACGCCGCTGTTGCGGTACCCTGGCATCGCCACTAAGGTCAACAAAACAGTGCGGCCCTCTCCATTGTTGTCCGCCACCCGCTTCGTTGATACCATAAGCAAGCCAGTACTTCAGGGTCGCTTCTTCTGGAGCATTCCACAACTAGAAAATCATCAAAGGAGACTACCAGGGCATTGGTGGTACCTGGAATGAATCCCCCCACAGGCCGTGCGATTCAGAGATATATTCAGCGCGAGGCGAGCGTACCATCATTTTGTGGTGGGAGAGTTCGTTGTATGCAAGGCATCGATATATTTGGGTTGTTTTGATGTTTAGTGACTATTGTACGGTATGCTGAAACTATCTGTAGTAACTCCAAATCCACTAATATCTCTCTAGCGATAGGCTAGTCTATCTCTTCTCCACACCAACCTACGGCCTGAATGATGTCTGATTGTCAGTAACACACACATTTTCCCGTTAGTGTTTACACTATTCTCCTAATGATCATACTACCCAGATGGATTAGCCACACATGGGGCAACTAGCGGCATACACAGTAGCTCCTCGATTTTGCGTATCACCGATAGATCCATAAGCCTCCACTTGGGAAAATGGAAAATCACAAAGGTCACCAGACCCCATTTCAACAATGGACCGCCAACCAGCACTTTGCCACTAGCTCCTCAGGCGGCGTGACGTCTCATCCGTTTTCGGCGACTCTCGTCTAATTTTGTGCAGGAAAGCGAAATGGACAAACAATTCAAGGGGTTTTTTGATGGGGGGGGCTGGCTAATTGGGCACATCAGGAGATTCTCCCCCCGTCTCGAACCCATCGCGACCAACCGACGCATCATCGGCCCCGCTGCACCCTTACGCCAGATGAGGTCGACGATCGCTGCTGCCAAGTGAGTGCCGCCGCGCATTTGACACCAAGTCAGCCGTACTTGGTGCCGCCGTGAAATCGAAAATACCAGAGCTGGAGGTCGTCACTGGGAGCATGGACATTGTGGGTAAGTTTGTAGGTCACGGCATCATCCATGGTTTAACTTGAGCACACATGGTAGCCATGGCGACAGAACATTAGAGGCCTAGAACACCTTGGCCACTGCTCCTCCCCCCGCATGCCCCCGCCTCTCCCCCT